ATTTGGTCCTTTGGTCCTCATTTTATTTTCTGTTTGAAAGACTGCAGAACTATTTCCTTCACATTGGAAATTGAAAGGCATTTGAAATTTGAAATTGCCAGAATGTGTCCAGATTGGGTTTGTCATCATTTGTTTTGCCTGAGACGTAGGCCAAGAACTATATTAGACTATAGACTAATGTCTTTTTTTCAAGTTCAGGAATGTTTTTTTCTTTTGTAATATAGTTTTAGTTTGTGATCTAGTTTTGGTTTCTTCAAACAAAATGTTATTATTGTAAGGTTGAATCTTAAGTTCCCATTTTCTATATTACTCTCTTTTTTCTTCATCATTTCTTCCCACCTTTTCTACCCCCTTTTAAGATGAATATTGATATAACATCTTAAATGTGTCTTTTGTATCATGAATACAGTTTTCTGCATAGATATTTCAATGCTATATTGCTATCAATTATCTTAATTAATGCTTTTTTCTTTGTAGTCTTTTCTTATTAATCTGATCTTTTAATCTCAACCTATTCTCACTTTGTGGTTCTTTGTTGCAGCTTTATAATAAAGTACAATACCTGGCACAATGATGTATGTTCAAATATGTGACTAAAGGAATGAATACATAAACAAAAACCAGAGCTTGTTGGTGTATACTACTGAGATTATTAAAATATTTTTCTATGAATGTATTCTTAAAAAAACAAAACAACTGTAGTTAGGTGTAGTTTACATACCATAAAACTTGTCCATTGTTAGGGTATATGCTGATGTAGCTGCTCAGATGCGCACTCACGCATGTACACATGTGCACACGTGAATGTGCACACACACACATGCACATGTACACGTGCACACACATGCATGCACACTCTTACTATTGTTTGTTTCTAAGCATGCCTTTCCAGGGGTTTGCCCCGCCGTTGTGGCTTAGAGGACAGTGGTTATGCCCAAATGCTTGAGCCTCCAGTAGGACTGGTCCTCTGTCAGTGGCTCTGCATGTGGGCAGAGGAGCACCTTTCAAGCTCAGGCTGTTTTAGATCTGCCCTGACACTGATTTTTCCACCTCGTCCTTTCATGTCTCCTTGCCTGTGTGTGGTCACAGCGTTGGCCATGTGCTAGCTGACCATGACCACAACCTCAGTCTATTAGAGTGTTCACCCTTCTCACTCACCTGCGCCCCAGAACATCACACGGACAAGACAGCCGGGCATGGTGTTATTCCTTACTCCAAATGGAGTGGTGTACCTTTGATCAAAAGCGCCTGGTCCTGGGCCGGCCGAGTGGCGCGATGGTTAAGAACTGTCTTGGGACGCCAGAGGGCCCCGGTTCAGATCCCACATATGAGGGCCAGTGACACTGCCCTCTACAGCTAAGATGCTGAACAACAGCTCAACCTGGAGCTGGGCTGCTGTGAGTCGTCAGCGACGGCATAGGCTGCAGCCCCTGTGGCAGTGGGTTGCCATGGGCTGCTGTGTGTAGCCAGTAGCCAGCGTGAGCGGCCAGCAGCTGCAGTGAGCAGCCGTCCAGAAGCCGGCGACTGATCTGCCTCGCTGGGGAAGAGCGCAATGATGGTGCCAACTTGGGCCAGTGAAGCAGAGACTCTCACAGTTCTTACTCAACACTTCGCAATCTTTCAAACGTAAATGCTTCTTGGGTTCTTGTATTACTTTGCTGAGTTTCCAGAGGACTGAAAGGGTGGTTTTGTTGATTTCATCCCACTTTATAATCAGTTTTTGGAGAGAGGAATTACCTACCTTCTTACTAGTCCATAGCTAGACGTCCTACCTCTCAGGATGTACGCTTTTGGTAATTTCTCTAGGGATACTTACTGTTATGTTAGTCAGGGTGTGTGTGTGTGTGTGTATTAATATATGTATATATATAGGAGATGGAGCTTTGAAGAATTGGTTCATGTGATTATGATGCTGGCATTTCTAAAATCCATAGAACATTCCAGCAGCTAAGAATTGATGTTAGGCTTGAATCCGAATCCCTCAGGGCAGCTAGCTGGAAACTCACTCAAGTAGGATTTCTGTGTTCCAGTCTTGAGGAGAATTCCTTTTCTTTCAGGAAAACTGCCTTAACTCTTAATGGTTGGACAAGGTCGTCTGTATTATGGAGGGTAATCTGCTTTACTCAAAGTCTGTTGATTGAATTGTTAATCACATCAAAAAAATACTTCCACAGCAACATCTGGATAGGTGTTGAGCCAAACACTGGGTGCCACAGCCTAGCCAAGTTGACACATAAAATTAACCATCACAAGATGCCCTCTGAGGATTCAGGGTAAATTTGATTAGTCTTGGTGTTACCGGCAACAGTGCCCCACCCTCCCAAAGACTTAAGTTTTCTTTCCTATAGAAATGTTAAGTACAGAAATGTTAAGTCTCCTCCCTAGTTTCTTAGTTCCTTAGCTCTTGCCTTTGATTACTCTTCTCATCAGCCTCTGAATCCTAGGCTAAAGATTGCTCCTAGCCTGAATCTTAAGAATTCTCCTATGCCCCTGCTTTTGATTGCTTTGTAAATCAGTTTCTGAATAGTAAACAATAGAAGTCCCCTACCCTTGCTTCAGATAACTACTTGAAAGCCTGTGACTTTCTAATATCCCCCAGGCCAATAAGCTGAATGCCAAACCTGTTCTGGGCCCAGACAACTGATGCCACCTGAGTGACAGGCTGAATGGCCATAGACTTCATGAGAGCTAATAGATTTATTAATTAAAATCTACTTTTCCTCATTCAGGGACCTTGGGGATACAGAGGATACTCCAACAAGATTGCCAGTCACAACCAAAGAAGCCAACATGGTCTTCCAGGCAGAGCTTGAGACCCCTCATCTGAGATCAGCTAGGGTGAGAGTTCTGTGACTCTCAGTAGGCAAGGACAGCTCTACACCCCTGTCCAGCAGGAAGCAGATACAGAAGAAAAGACCTCCTGTCCCTCAATTTCCCATAGAGATTATATGGGGATCACATCTCTCAAGGGGAAAACAAGGCAGGCAGTTAAAAGCAGGCATTGGGTCTCTGCATTCCTGCATGTCCCACAGAATGTGACCACCAAGGGGACATCCCCTCTACACCCAAAACTCCCCTTTGTATTGTAATTACCTACCCCTGTGGGAAAACAAACGGGTGCAAAATACCCAACTAGATCAGACTAGCCACTCGCACCTGTGCAATACCTCTTGTCAATCACAGGTGCCAATCAAGTGGTCCCACGCCCTTAGGGGGACAGCCCATTCTAGAGAAGGGATAAAAACTCCAAGTCCTGTGAAGTCCGCCCTTTTTTCCGCTTTGTTTGGACGCCCTGCTCTTTTGACCACTTCTTCCATTTTGAGCTTTTTGAGCCTCACCTTTGCACGCGGCCCACTCCAAACTCTTTGTAATGTAATTTCTCTTCTAATAATGGGCCCTTGAGCCATTTTCTACTGCTCCTTCTTTGATATGTACTATTACTTCGAATAAACTACTTTTTCAGTACTTTACTCCGGCATCTCGTTCAATTCTTTGCTCAAGTTGCCAAGGACCTGGACTTTCTGCGGAGAAGGGCCCACTTTCCGACAACATAGGTTTAGTCTGCCTAATTCATAGCATGTGTCCTTGTTCCAGCTAAGCTAGCAGTTTTATAGTACGTCTATTTCACATATACACAGTATGCGTGTTTCACATATACACAGTATGCGTGTTTCACATATATGCAGTATGTGTATTTTACATAATATGTATGTTTTACATGCTTGCTCTCCTTTTACACACCCACATCTTTGGTCATAGTGTATCTTCAGCTTAGACTGCTCTGTGTGTCCACATTGTATCTGTCTTTCTGAAGGCAGATTAAAGACACACACAATTTCTTTCTTTTTTTTAAAAAAGATTTTATTGGGGAATCGGGGATGGGGAACAGAAAAGTTGCTGTCCTTTTGTTCTTCAGTCTAGTTGTGGAGGATGTCGCTTCACTGGCCCATGTTGGTATTGTGATCATTGCACTCTTCTCAGCTGAGGCAGTCGGTCGTCGGCCATTGGACAGCTGCTCACGGTGACTCACGACAGCTCACTGCAGCCCCACTGCAACCTATGCCGTCGCTGGTGACTCATGACAGCCCAGCTCGAGCTGTTGTTCACCATCTTAGCTGTAGAGGGCGCAGTGTCACTGGTCCATGTGGGATCCGAACTGGCGGTTCTCTGCTCAGAGCTCACACTCCCAAGCCAGCTCCTAATCAATGAGCCATTCTGCTGGCGCCAGATACACAGTTTGTTTTGCACTCTGTATACCAGCTATCCTGAACAACTTCTTGTTATCTAATCATGCTGGGCTCTCTCATGCAATTGTGCTTCTGCACACACATGCCTATTACTTAGGTTAGCTGCCCCATGTTTTCTATGAGGCTTTTATAGCGTTCCTAAGTAGACTTACTTGTTCTTTTTCATTATACTTACATTGTTGCCTGTGCTTATTTCTGCTAAGGCCCTGATCACATTTAATTGTCATTGTTTGAATATATGTCTGTCTATGAGACTGTTTCCTGAGAGCAACACTGCTGTCCTTTTCAAAGTTTATCCTCAGTGAATCCCAAGTACCTGGCCTATGGTACCTAAATAAATAATTTGCGGGGTGAATAAATTCAACGTGTGTTAAAGATTTAGAAGTATATTTCTTTTCAATTTCTCTTTATAGTAGAATGTGGAGATAATGACTCCTTAGGGATGCAGCAAATCTGAATACCCAAGATGAACCTTGAGTTGGACTCTAAATGTACTTGGGCATACTAAATATTTACTTGACCGACTGACAGAAATAGTTTTATTTACTTTTCCATTTTGTGCATAGTTTCAGAATTGCTATATTAAGAAAAGCTGTTTATCTGATTGGAAATGTTGATTTATGTTTGCTTGAATTTGTGTATATTTGTGTTCTAAGAATATTAGATCATCTAAGACTGCTTTAGTTTTTTGTAGCTAAAGTGTTAATGATAACTAATGACTAATTTGTAAACAATCTTAATGTGATGGTAAAATAACTTTTTCCTTTTCCTATTAGATGTTCATTATCTTTCTGAAGTAGAATCTCCATGGCCTGAACATTTTCTGGAAATCATTTTGAGCAAAATATCTGTTTACTAAAAGATAACCACATCAAGATGGTTGGAAAACTGAAGCAGAACTTACTATTGGCATGTCTGGTGATTAGTTCTGTGACTGTGTTTTACCTGGGCCAACATGCCATGGAATGCCATCACCGGATAGAGGAACGCAGCCAGCCCCTCAGGCTGGAGAGCACAAGGAGCACCGTGCGAACTGGCCTGGATGTAAAAGCCAACAAAACCTTTGCCTATCACAAGGATATGCCTTTAATTTTTATTGGCGGTGTGCCGCGGAGTGGAACCACGCTCATGAGGGCCATGTTAGATGCACATCCTGATGTCCGCTGTGGGGAGGAAACCAGGGTCATTCCCCGAATCCTGGCCCTGAAACAGATGTGGTCACGGTCGAGTAAAGAGAAAATACGCCTGGATGAGGCTGGTGTCACCGATGAGGTGCTGGACTCCGCCATGCAGGCCTTCTTACTAGAGATCATCGTCAAGCATGGGGAGCCAGCCCCTTACTTATGTAATAAAGACCCCTTTGCCCTGAAATCCTTAACGTACCTTGCTAGGTTATTTCCCAATGCCAAATTTCTCCTGATGGTCCGAGATGGCCGGGCATCAGTGCACTCAATGATTTCTCGAAAAGTTACTATAGCTGGGTTTGACCTGAACAGCTACAGGGACTGTTTGACCAAGTGGAATCGTGCCATAGAGACCATGTATAACCAGTGTATGGAGGTTGGCTATAAAAAATGCATGTTAGTTCACTATGAACAACTTGTCTTACATCCTGAGCGGTGGATGAGAACACTCTTAAAGTTCCTCCATATTCCGTGGAACCACTCAGTGTTACACCATGAAGAGATGATTGGGAAAGCTGGGGGAGTATCTCTGTCAAAGTGAGTAGATGTTATATTTTTTATTTGGCTGTATATTCAACTAATAAAGAGTGTGTGTGTGTATGCGTGTATATATATGTGTATATGTGTGTGTATATATGTATATGCATGTGTGTATACACACAGACTACAGACCTTTTCTGGAATAGATATAGCTTCACCAGTGAGTTTTTTTTTTAAAATTTCCTATCCAGTTCATTATAAACCTTTCATTTATTTCTTTCTTTTGTTTATAAATTATAGTCCTTTTTATTTATTTGATGGCAGCAAACCCAATTCATAGCAATGAAAGTCCTTTTTCACAGACCTCAGGCTTTAATGCCCATCATTGAATTTTAGTGGCTTCTGATTTCTAATTTCTAGATGTTTTCATTAATAAGGATAATTTGCTTTAGTATAGATTAAGGTTAATATGAGGAAAAGCACCTACCCTGGTGGTGAGAAGTAGTGAATTCCAAGCATTTAGGAATTTTTAGTGATAGAGAAAAATAAAGCTAAAATTATCTAACCCCATCTTTTCATTTTATGGGTAGGAAGACTGAGTGAGAAAGATCAAAATGATTTACTCAAATTTAGATGGCATGGCCAGAATTAGAATCCATGCCTTGGTCTCAGTGGATTAGTGCTTTTATTCATGGCATTTTATTACATGTAGTGTTTCGTTTGTCAGCTGATGGATACATCTTCTTTTGAGTTTTATAACAGGCTAGAAAAATTTGGAAGCTTAATCCATAATCCATACAAGAAGTTGCTTAGATTCAAATATGTACTCCTACAACCATTGCATCTTTTCCCCTTTATCATGAAGCGATGACTAGGGCACTCTGACTTGAACTAACAACCTGACTTGATGACGTATATCTAGAATGAGGATATAAAAATGGAAACTACTGTTAAATTCAGATAGCATCTCCTCATGAAGAAAAGTTGGTTATAACAATTTTATTTTTTATTTTTTCCATTTATAAAAGTAATATATACCCCCTGTAAAAAAGAAAAAGGAAACGCAGTGTACTTCCCTTGTGTACCTTGCTTGCCCCTACCAAAGAATGTCTTCTTGATTTTTTTCCAATGTATAGAATTTGTACAGTAAATATTGATTCCTCATGTAGATAATTTGAAAGGAACAGCTACCTTTCTGCATCTAACTTTCATTTATTGATTACAAATTATTAGGTATCATCACTCCAGTGGCTCTAGATTATTTTTCTTGATTCAGAGAATTACAGCTCTGGCTACTGTCATCACAATTTGTTGTTTTTTCTCTCCAGATAATAGGCCATAACTAATTTGTAATCACCTGTATTCTTAGGTAAGCATTTCCTTTCTGTGCTTGTATGTTGGCCCAGAGATTCTGATGGTAGTTCCTTCTGTTACTATAAAATAAGTCTACCAGGCACCCCCCCAACCCCCACCCCTGCTATTCTTTCTAAGTAGGGATTAAAGAGATATATGCTCAAGTGAAATTTTGGTGGAAATCAGGAAAAGTTCATTTTGCTTATATACTTAACTATGTTTAAGGTAAACATCCGAGGAAATTCATAGATGTTTAGAGTTAATGACTTTTAGAAAGGAAAGAGACCTTAGCATTTAGTGTACAGATTAGACAGACACCCAGTGAGGCTCTATGCTTTGTCAAGAATCTCATGTGGCAGAACCATGACTAGAACTTCCAATATTTATTCCCAAGACTCTTGCCACTATATGAGTTTAAAAAAATTAAGGTGTAACATATAAAGTAAATGCACAAATATTCAGTGTACAATTTGATGAATGTTTACATCTATATACATTTGTATAATCTCTATCCATATCAAGATATACAAAATTACCAGTACCCAGGAGGCTGTTTTATGCTTCTTAATAAATATCCTTCTCAACCCAAAAGTAACCATTATTCCAACCTCAATCACCAGAAGTGATGTGAGGGTGTATATAAAGTTCAAAAACAGTCAGTCTTGCTTGTTTTTTGTTTTTTTTAAAGGTTTTT